GCAGGGCCTTCACTGCTCTCCTCTTTGCCTCCCAGCCCAGTTTTGCTGCTGTGACATTCCTAAAGCTCCATGTGGGACTTTAGCCTTTGTCTGTCTCCTCCTTTCCCTTCCCAACATCCTGACAGAGGCCCCGTACCTTGGACAGTGATGGTCACAGACCTTGACTTGTGTTGTCCCCTTCCTAGGTATCCTGTGCAGTGGTAATCACCGCTGTGGCTGTGATTTGCTTTGGAGATGGGGAAGGTGCCGTTGGACTGACGATATTTTATAGGCTCTCCATTCTGGTATAATGTGATCTTGTTCAGGGGTTTGCTCCTCCAGCTATGGCACCTCAAGATGATGGTTTCCCCTTCCTTAAACACCAGTTGAGGGGTCTGGAGCAGCAGCCAGTCTGAGTGACATAGAAAGACCATCGGACTCAGAGGGCCTGGGCTCAGCTCTGAGACCCAGTCTGAGCGACACAGAAAGACCATTGGACTCAGAGGCTCTCTTGCCCTGGCTATACTGTATATTCCAAATGGGGGGGCACACAAAAATAAGGATTTTCAATATTTATACTATAAAGAAATGAAAAAACATGAGGTCATAAATGTACCTAATCCAGTTTAAGAACCAAACAATATCTACACACAGCAAAATGTCACACCATGTCCTCCGCAAATACATGTCATTTTATACAGCAAACAAAAAAAAACAGTTTCAAGTTTTTAAAATGACTTTATAAGCTTTTACTTCAGTTGGGGACAAAAAGTCATCACACAGCCTATCCTTATCTACATGACTGACACGGTGCCCAGCCCTTCACCTCTGGCCTCGGTTTCCAGATTTTAGTTCTTCCCTTGGAAACCTCACTTCCTGTCTCCTCACACCTGTCAAGCCTGCTCCTGTCTTTGCAGGCCGCCTGACCTCCGGTCTCCACGCTTCCCCACACTGCCATCATGAGAGTGATGTTTATGAAGCACTGACTTCCTTCTGTTTCTGTCACACCAGCCTTGAACCTCTTGCTCAATCCAGACTGAGCCAGATAACAGCTGTCCCCCTCCGACAGTACTAAGCAGAGTGGGTCAAAGGGGAAACTAGTGATCAAATGTCTTTCCAGCAAGTTCTCACCGATGCTTCCCAGAAACCAGGCCACCCCTTTTCTTGTAAACTTCTGTCCAGTAGGCAGAGCCCCATGGCCTGGTATCCCAGCTCCTTCCTGGGCCCGTCTACTAACCGGCAATCACTTCCAGGTGTACAGGGTCGCTGAGGATGTTCTGCTCCAGTCTGCACCGGTATTCTCCACTGTCATTGACTGTGGCTTTAAACGTGTAGTTGGGCCGGACCTGGCTCCGAAGAGAGCTCCCGTTGTGGAGCCACTGGGTCGAATAGTTCCCAGGGTTGTGGGTCCCTTCGCACGTCAATGTCACACTGTCTTCCTTGAGCACCTGGATCCATGGGGG